TTTAGGTAGCTACTTCATTAAACTATCGATTATACGATATATTTTACGTAAAGTTCAAATAAATAAATAACCAAATATTAACTCATATTTTAGAAGACCATTTCACTTCTACTCTTATATTATCTAAAATAATATACCACATAACATATAAAATCAATACATAAACAAAGTCATCATGTTTATTAATTAAAATTGTGATTTACAGAAAACTTTTTAGTAAAATTATGAGCCTCGGTCAGGGGTTAAGCATTCGTCGCAAATTTCACAGTACGCAAGCAATCCGGGTTCAATCTCCGTCGGCACCTAAGAAATTGGTGATTTAAGTATTGATTTACGAGTGCTCGGCGGTGAATGACAACATCGTTGGATTGAGGAAACCTGCATGTCGGAGAAATAAATTACTCGTATTTCGGGGGCATATGGAGTCCAGCAGAATGCATTGAAGCAGCGCGGTGGAATAATGTCTTAGTAGTGGGAAGTATAGAGGCCGCATAACGTTACATATCTGTAACGTTACATAAGGCTGAGATCTATAGACCGTACTTTGATTTTGCTCAGACTTTACTTTCGAGCAAGGACAAAGTCGGTATTTATAGCTAACTTAAATCGTGCTGAGTGCGCGTTTAGCAAAGCCTAAGTCAATGAAATCGACGACTTACGAAAAACTCAGGATATTAAGTATTAAATATAATTGTTGTTTTTATGTTACTTTAATTGTTCATAACAATAAATACGTAGTTTTAGGCCCTCTTCCAGCTTTAAATACCATTAATCCAATTTCTGTTTACTCAATATCAAACTTATTTCGGATTTCATAAAATCTTATTTCTTCTTTATGATTTTTGCAGTCTTTTTATCCGTCTCCTTCCAAAAATTCAGCAATTTTATCCAGAAATGTAATAATAACTTATTTATGAAATAAAATTTGGATTGTTTTCGATTTTTAAATAATAAATTTATCGAATTTTATAAGCTTTTTAATCCAAGCCGACACAAATATAAATTCAGAATCAAAGATTACGCTAAGCATATACTACTCAAGTAAGTATTTCGTGAGGAAAGTCTGAGTAAAGTCAAAGTGCGGTCTATAGATCTCAGCCTGAGTAAAAGTAAAGTCAATATAGCTTTGTCATTGCATCAAAGCCTTTTTATCCCCACGATTCTTATGGATACCTTTCGTTGTGAGGCGGCAGAATCAATATATATATATATATATATATATATATATATATATATATATATATATATATAATAGGCAAGTTTAATACACAAGAAGTGATAGGACAGTTATTAGTCCCAATATTATAAACTTATTCACGCTTCAAAGATAAACAAAACAGGTCGATATTTTTGCTTACTCAACACAGTGATATAGACGCGACGGCAAACAAATCTAATCCAGATCAGACGTTCGAACCCAGGACATAGTAAACCGACAGATTAACAAACGCGGTAATGGAACTGCTAAGACAACAACGGATCTAGACAACCAGTACTCAGTAGCCTGCGGTCTTCCAACACACGGTAATTTGGACTGAGCTTCCATCAATTTAATGTTATGTAAGTATCAAGCAGCCGGAAACAATCCGATGTAAAAACTTTGCTATCTCATAAATGACACAATTGTTTAGTAATAGAGGAAAATTGCAGCTATCGGATTTGAACTTAGAACGTATAAAATCTGATGTTGCAAATATTCTTTATTAATTAAAGCACATTATGTTTTTGACTTGGAACTTACTAATGATCTGAACAGGTGTAAAAAGCGCATGCAGATTGGATCAAACCGATATTTTTTATTCAAGTAAGAGTGAAAAAAGAACCACACGATACACCACTTCAAGAAAAGACTTACCCCAACCCCTCCCCATCTTCAAAAAAAACATGGTACATGCTAATAGTAGTAGATGATGTGCTCCATCTATTCTCGAATAAGAATCAAAATCCAAGCACTTTGCCTGAACAACACTGAGAACTAACATGGAAGGCCTCGATACCAATAACAATTGCGCTTTTCGTCACAATACGAAACACAGTTGCATTAGTAGATAAGATTAATTTTGGCCTGAAATTGTGACAATCAGTCGAAGTCAAAGTAACCAGTATAGCGACCGATTTTTGTTAGTCCACCTGATGGTAAGTGGTTGCTGTGGCCCATAGACATCTACATCTATCCTCGATTGCGAACCAAAATGCACATGCGTTGTCACCAGTGAGGACTAAGATGGAATGCCTCGTGTGTAGTAAAAAGGGTCTCCGGTTCTATACACTCAACGAACGAAACACAGCAGCATTAAGCTGCTATTTTACGCCGGTATTTTGTGAGTGCGTGGTCCTTCCCCGGTTGAGCCGACCCATTTGTGCTACAACTATACCACTAATATAACTGCAGTATGGCTCTACATTATATATAATTAGTAGTTAAGATTATGTTTGGGCTGAAATTGTGACAAACGGGGGAAGTAAACGCAACCAATATAGCGACAGATGAAGGAATCTTGACGCTTCCGTATCGACTTGCACGACGGCCGCGAAGAAATGAAATGGTATAAGATAATCCATTCCAATCCAATCCATTGGATCATTTCATCTCGTGGGTGTCGTAAGAGGAAACCGCGGTAAATGCTAGAAATATCTTATGACTTTTGATAGATTGCGAATTCAATCTCTTCAATACTTATATACTAATATAATGATGATGATATAGACAATTTGTCTATATCATCATCATTATATGTATTAGTATATTAAATTTTAGTAAAGAAGTAAACTCGTTCATCCGATATCCGAAGTTTGAACTTCGTAACGTTCCAATATCCGAAGTTTATAAGTCCACAGATAGGCCTACCCAAAAATTCCACAAAACTCGTGTACAGAACTCTAGAACTAGATCTAGAACACCACTACCATCATCATTTTTATAGGAGAGGGGGCAAACGAGCGTACGGCTCACCTGATGGTAAGTGATCACCGCCGCCCATGAACAGCTGCAACACCAGGGGAATTGCAGATGCGTTGCCGACCTTTTAAAAAGGAGTAGGCTCTCTTCTTGAAGGTCCCTAAAAATCTCTGGTGGTAATCGATTCCACAAGGAAGTTGTGCGAGGAAGAAAACTTCTTTTATATCGCACAGTGGTGGACCGCCAGTCATCCAGGTGGTACGGATGGTATTGCGAGTTTTGTCGCGATGTGCGATGATGAAATTCTGCGGCTGGAATTAGTCCGAACAATTCCTCAGAGCCTCCCTCGGGGAATGCCACAAAACAATTTCCTAGACCACTTATATCATTATAATATTGTCTTTTTACTTCAGAGTTATCAACAAAATCCTTAGAATCTTGTTTATTGAGATTGAGATAGATTAAGACTAGACAAAGAACCAAAGCATCAGATAAAACAGCCTTAAAACCCACATCGCTCTAGTTCTTTTTCTGTCAAGAAGTAACCAACACCTTTGTTCTAGTTTGAAATGTATAGAAAACCAGTATAATAAGACCCGGTATGGCATTTCAAGTGACAAATGAACTAGTAATTTGTCAAGTTGGTAGCGGATGTGCATGGGCTGCAAGTAGTGTTTATCATCAATTAGACTATTACCTCGTTTATTATTCTTTTATAAAATAAATATGAATTCAAAAAACTTTTATTTCGTTTACTACTTTAATGTAATAAGCAATTGTGTACATTACAAAAATACTTATACTTGTTACAAAAATTTTATATACACAGAATTGTAGCCTAGACAACAATACATTATATATCAATATAATATTACTTCATATAAAATCTACGAATTCCCACATATTACTGCGTTATCTACATAACAAACGTTGATTATGTACGCTGAATAGTGTTTAAAGTCGAATACGAGTCAAAACAAAGTAATTATTTAAAAAAAATATGTACGTTGTGTCATTTCGCAACACACTTTGCATAGTAATAAAATTGTATGATAACTAAAGTTAGTGAACTCTAAACATTCTGTCGTGTAGTGATGGCAAAGGAGCATTCAATCACCTCTTTTCGTCCCGTGAGTGCTGTAAGAGGACACTACAGGAAATTCCACTAATATCTTATGGCTGTCGATAGATGGCGGCATACCATCACGTTTACGTCAGACGTAAAATTTTCCAGACCAGCGACGTGCAACACTGTTTAAGGTGCGAGAAGTCTAGTACTGGGATTAGGCCTACCAGATCCGAAAATCAGTTTTCCTGGCAAAATCCCTAACTTTTTAATAAACTTTGCTGACATTGACGAGGAGGCACCAAAAACATCTAATTATAAAAAAAAACTCGCGCATGTGCTTGACATATGCGCAATCAGGTATATAATCAAAGTGCGCAATATTCAGCAATAAAATATACGAATCAGATTAGATGAATGGAACAATGTTATTGTTCACATTTGATTCATTTTTTTTGTGATTAAACTGTTGAGAGGGCTAAAATTCCGGACATGTCAGGCAAACTTCTGTCATCTGGTAACCCTAACTGGGATCATCTATTCGCTTGACAAATAAGACGATTCAGGCAAATTCTCTTTAAAACGAAAGAAGTGCAAGGACTTCACGGATTGATGATGATGATTAATCATTATGTTAAATGCACGTATCAAACAGCTGGTGATAACAACAAAAACTGCTATGCACACGTATCAAAAAATAATGTTCATGTTGTATCCGTAATCAAAAAATAATGTTTATTTAATACAAATTGACCCTAACCGTGAACCTCATTAATCATTAGGAGAAGTAAACAAACCACTGCTAAGAATATTGATGTAACAAAGACAAAACAACGCTCGATTACCCAATAGTTACTCACTCGATATACACGTCACACAAGTCCAAGGTTTATTTATTCCCTTCAGCACAATTTGTACATAAAAACCACAGTTACGTTTCTAAAAACACATAGAACACAATCACACAGCGGAGATAGTATACGTCCGCTCGCGTCTACGATCGAAGCGCGAATGAAGAAGGAAATAAACACTGACCTGATCTTTTCCTGAGGCTGTCGACGCTGCGCTTGCGCAGGCCTGCACTCCCCCACCGCAGCGCCTGCGAAACAATGTTACATAAAGTCACCACGATTTTGACATCACACAGACATTGCATTCGGATTATCAACCGATCGCGATTGCATTCGATGAAGAAATTTATAAAGTAGTTTATAGCCAGTTAAAGCTTATTATGAGTGTAACAGCGTCCGTCCTTGTATTAGTTTTACACTTAGGCAAGAGTTCTTTCAACAAGTTAAAAACGAGTATATAGCTTTGCAGCTAGCTAGATGTAGTATAGCTATAGTATTTAATTTCAGGGCGACTGCTGATATCGATTGCGAGATCTTGAGCCGCTTAAAGATCCCAGCTAAACCACATATTTTGTGATACGTTTGTGAATAAATTAAAAACTCAGTTAAATTATTTAACAGCTCCTCTTCCCCCCACGTGAAAAAGAAGATGTAAGGTTTAAAGCTCACTGAGTAGAAATTAATGTACCCTTAGCTTTTAAGTGTTACATTTAAGCTTTTAAATTAAAAAAAATAAATGAGATAAAATAAAGTTAATTTGAAATTTATTTATATTATGTACTAAGTATAATTTATTTAAATAAAGAAGACATTCCATGAAGTCCTCAGGGGTGACAACGCGTCTGCATTTTGATCCTTAATGGGGATGTCTATGGGCCACAGAATCAGCTTACTCTCAATTGGACTTATTTTATAAATAAGATTCTACTTGTTTATTTCAAAAAAAAAACTACTGAGGACATCGATTCGTTATGTTGAAATGCGTTTTGAATTAATTACGATAAAAAAAAATTTCACTAAAATTGCTAAGCGAAACGCTTTGCTCTAGTATTATGTAATAGACGTCCGATACTTGATTTTTTAATTTTGTTTTCAATTTAGAGGGTTTGTCAGGGTTAAGCTCGAACCTTTTACACTGTTTTTGGATTTGAGAAATGCCTTGTGAATTAATTACGATAAAAATAAATTTCACTAAAATTGCATAAAACGAAACGCAAATGTCATTTTGTTTTTTTCTTAACACAGATACACCCCTAAAAAAATTAATCACTCGAACCCAGACAATCCATTTGCGACATCTGTTAGGAGGACGGGACTCATATAGAACAAATTGAGTCGCAGTGGAGAGCAGTCAAGAGGCTTTTCATAAAACAAAATTATATGGGAGAGCCGTGGTAGCTCAGTGGTTGACGCTCGCAGTAAATATAACAGAACGCGAGAGTAACCCGGGTTCGATCCCCGCCGGCACCAATGAAATTGTTAATTGCAATTTTAAGTGCTGATTTACCACGTGCTCGGCGGTGAAGGAAAACATCGTGAGGAAACCTGCATGTCTGAGGAATAAGAAAAAAAATATTTCGAAGACATGTGAAGTTCGTCAACACGCATTTGGGCAGCGCAGCGGACACTTCCTTGCCCTAAACCCTCTCAGAAATGAGGGGAGGCCTGAGCCCAGCAGTGGGACGTATATAGGCTGTAACTTTACTTTACTTTTTACTTTATATGGGAGAAAATTAACAGCGACTAATATACCTACACAGTTGATAGCTTCCGAAATTATTCAAAGATTGTCGTCGTGATCGACATCGGCCTAATCATCTTAATCGTCATCTAAATCACAATATCACTTAAGATTTTAGTCGAACGTGGTAAGTAATGCCATTGTTTCATATGACGAGAACCGGAAACACATTTTAATGGTAACAAAGTGTTTCAATTTAAGTCCTCAAAGGTGCGAGAACCGTAGATCATTTTATTGGTAACGAAGCGTTTCATCCAAGTCCTCAAAGGTGCGAGAACCGTAGATTATTTTATTGGTAACGAAGCGTTTCATCCAAGTCCTCAAAGGTGCGAGAACCGTAGATCATTTTATTGGTAACGAAGCGTTTCATCCAAGTCCTCAAAGGTGCGAGAACCATAGATCATTTTATTGGTAACGAAGCGTTTCATCCAAGTCCTCAAAGGTGCGAGAACCGTAGATCATTTTATTGGTAACGAAGCGTTTCATCCAAGTCCTCAAAGGTGCGAGAACCGTAGATCATTTTATTGGTAACGAAGCGTTTCATCCAAGTCCTCAAAGGTGCGAGAACCGTAGATCATTTTATTGGTAACGAAGCGTTTCATCCAAGTCCTCAAAGGTGCGAGAACCGTAGATCATTTTATTGGCAACGAAGCGTTTCATCCAAGTCCTCAAAGGTGCGAGAACCGTAGATCATTTTATTGGTAACGAAGCGTTTCATCCAAGTCCTCAAAGGTGCGAGAACCGTAGATCATTTTATTGGTAACGAAGCGTTTCATCCAAGTCCTCAAAGGTGCGAGAACCGTAGATCATTTTATTGGTATCGAAGCGTTTCATCCAAGTCCTCAAAGGTGCGAGAACCGTAGATCATTTTATTGGCAACGAAGCGTTTCATCCAAGTCCTCAAAGGTGCGAGAACCGTAGATCATTTTATTGGTAACGAAGCGTTTCATCCAAGTTCTCAAAGGTGCGAGAACCGTAGATCATTTTATTGGTAACGAAGCGTTTCATCCAAGTCCTCAAAGGTGCGAGAACCGTAGATCATTTTATTGGTAACGAAGCGTTTCATCCAAGTCCTCAAAGGTGCGAGAACCGTAGATCATTTTATTGGTAACGAAGCGTTTCATCCAAGTCCTCAAAGGTGCGAGAACCGTAGATCATTTTATTGGTAACGAAGCGTTTCATCCAAGTCCTCAAAGGTGCGAGAACCGTAGATCATTTTATTGGTAACGAAGCGTTTCATCCAAGTCCTCAAAGGTGCGAGAACCGTAGATCATTTTATTGGTAACGAAGCGTTTCATCCAAGTCCTCAAAGGTGCGAGAACCGTAGATCATTTTATTGGTAACGAAGCGTTTCATCCAAGTCCTCAAAGGTGCGAGAACCGTAGATCATTTTATTGGTAACGAAGCGTTTCATCCAAGTCCTCAAAGGTGCGAGAACCGTAGATCATTTCATTGGTAACGAAGCGTTTCATCCAAGTCCTCAAAGGTGCGAGAACCGTAGATCATTTTATTGGTAACGAAGCGTTTCATCCAAGTCCTCAAAGGTGCGAGAACCGTAGATCATTTTATTGGTAACGAAGCGTTTCATCCAAGTCTTCAAAGGTGCGAGAACCGTAGATAATTTTATTGGTAACGAAGCGTTTCATCCAAGTCCTCAAAGGTGCGAGAACCGTAGATCATTTTATTGGCAACGAAGCGTTTCATCCAAGTCCTCAAAGGTGCGAGAACCGTAGATAATTTTATTGGCAACGAAGCGTTTCATCCAAGTCCTCAAAGGTGCGAGAACCGTAGATCATTTTATTGGCAACGAAGCGTTTCATCCAAGTCCTCAAAGGTGCGAGAACCGTAGATCATTTTATTGGTAACGAAGCGTTTCATCCAAGTCCTCAAAGGTGCGAGAACTGGAGACCCATTTTACCGGTAACGAAGCATTTCATCTAAGTCCTCAAAAGTGCCAACGCATCTGAACTTTGATTCCTAATAATGGATAAATGTAGGTGTCTATAGGGCACAGCATTTACTTATCATCTATCCAAGTGTGTGGTGGCCATGTAGGAGAATCAAATGCAATTTCGTCCTACAAGTGTCGTAAGAGGCGGCTGTGAGATTGTATGGCTTCCAACAGATGGCGGTATAATCATCTTGTTTACGCCAGACGTAATAAATTATACTCCAGAGACCCGCGACGGGAAACAGCATCAAAGGTGTATCTAGCAATGGATATCTATAGGCTGATTAAGAAGTTTTATATTTAGTTTATGATTTCTCTTCACCAAATCCTACCAGGCGTATGAATCGATATGAAATATGTAATAATAAAAAAAATTAACGGCTAATGTCAATCAAGTGCTTCATCAAGTGTCTACCGCAATAACAAGTGTTAAAATTAAAAATGTTGTACAACCGACTTGAATATAAATAGCATGAGAACATCACCAATTTATTCGAAGTCAATTAAATACGCATTATTAAGAATAACTCAAAAACTACTGGTCACATCTTAATTAAATTAACATGAGAAGCACCAGCTATCTAACAAAAAGGAATCATCAAAATCGATTCGGAAGAAAGATCTGAGGTAAGACACAAAGAAAATACAATCGAATAGAGTACCTCCTGCTTTTTGAAGTCGCTTAAAAATATCAATAAAACCGGATCATAGCAAATATATCAACAACTAAAAACATGTCATATGAATCGAGCTGTTTATGCAGTTTGGTTGCTATGGATTATAGAATATTTGTAAACCCAAAAATGTTTCAAGCTTGCGACAAAAAAAAAGTAAATTCCGAATACATTGTAGGCGTTTTCAAGTGAAGAATGAAAAGGTAGGTACTATCTATTAAGCTAGTATCTTATTTATAGAATAAAGGCTACGAACGAGCATACGGTCCACCTGTAGATAAGTGGATACTGTGACCCATTGACATCTACATTTACCCTCAACTAAGTTTCAAAATGCCATCTGCAGTTGTTATTCCTGAGAAGTAAAATGGAATGCCTCGTTTCGAGTAAAAAAGTCTCCGGTTCTGTACACTAAACTTACGAAACAGCAGCATTAAGCTACTATTTTACGCTGGTATTCTGTGGGAACATAGTCCTACCGCGGTCCAACCGACCCATTAGTGATACAACCATAATATAGCTGCACCGTGGCTCTGCCACGTATAAATGTAGATGTTTTATGAACTAAAACTGAATACACTAACTTATCTTCTTGTTTCAGGTTTCTTTTTTTTTTTTTTTTTTTTTAATTTATTTTATGTACACACATTAAGGTACAGAAGCAGTCTTATAGTAATTACGTACAAAGGTTCTACTTATTCCAAATTCGCTGAAATATCTTCCAGTAGACCCATAAAGGAAATTATATTTAAATTGCAAACTTAGTGCATACATTAGTACTACAAAAAATAAATAATATACACAATGTTACGGAAATTATATATAATAGAACAATAAATAAAAATAAAATAAATCAATAAATAATAATAATAATTGATAAGA